AGAATTTTCAACAGAGGAATCTGAAATGGCTGAAAGACACTTAAGAAAGTGCTCAAAATCATTCACCAACAGAGAACTGCAACTCAAAACAACTCTGAGATACCACCTCACACCTGTCAGAATGGCTAAAATCAAAAATACCAATGACAATCTCTGCTGGAGAGGATGTGGAGAAGAAGGAACACTCCTCTGTTGCTGGTGGGAGTGTGAATTTGTAAGATCACTCTGGAAATCAGTATGGCGGGTGCTCAGAAAAAAGGGAATCACACTAAAGCAGAAGCAACCTAGATGCCCCTCAACTGAAGAATGGATGGAGAAAATGTACATTTACACAATGGAGTATTACTCAGCAGGGGAAAAAAACAAAAAACCAATGGATTCTTAAATTTCACAGGCAAATAGATGGAACTAAAAGAAACCATCCTAAGTGAGGTAACCCAGTCACAAAAAGACAAACATGGTATGTACTCACTGATACATGAATTTTAGACATAGAGCAATGGATTACCAGCCTATAATCCTCAGCACCAAAGAAACTAGGAAACATGAAGCACTCTAAGGGATAAATAGACCCCAGGAATGGGAAGTGGCATGAACTCCTGAGCTAATTGGGAGCATGAGGGTAGGGGAGACGGTGCTGCCACAATAAGAGTACGAGAAGAGGAGTAGAGGATTGGAAATGGAGGAGCAGAGATATTGAGTTGGGGGAAGAATAGAGGAGAGAGAGCAGGATGAGAGATACCATATTAGAGGGAGCCACTATAGGTCCGAGAAGAGATCTGGAACTAGGGCGATCTCCAGAGACCTACAAGGATGACGTGATATGACAATCCAGGCAATGGAGGAGAGGATAACCTAAAAGCCCTTCCCCTAAAATGAAATTGATGACTTCTCTCTATGCTATCCTAGAGTCCTCATCCAGTGGCTGATGGACGCAGAGAAGAAATACACTTAGCTAAAATCTGGAACCTAGTTGAAGAGAGGGAGGAATGAAGATCGAAGGGGTCTGTACCAGGTTGGAGATACCCACAAAAACAGTTGGCCTGAACAAGGGAGAGCACATCGACCCCAGATGCTATATGGGAGGCCTGTACAAGAGTGATCCAGCCCCCTGAACATGGATGCCAATAAGGAGGCCTCTGCACTTCAGGGAGCCTCTGGAAATGGATTAGCATTTTTCCCTGGTGCAAGAAGGGACTTTGAGAGCCCATCCCAAGTGAAGGGATACTATGGCCCTGGACACATGGGGAAGGGCCCACGCCCAGCACAGGAAGATTTGGTGGACTTTGCAGAGTCCCTGTTGAGGGCCCTACCCTGCCAGGGGAGTGGTGAGTGAATGGGGTGCAGGGTAGGTTGGGGGTGGGGGAGGAGGGATGGTGTGAGGTGAGGGAGAGGGAGAAGGTATTTACATGTGAAACAAGCTTGTTCCCTAACTTGAATTAGTAAAAAAAATAAAAACAAAAAAAGAAAACAAAAAAATTGCATCATTCTGGGGAGACATGGCAGCAAGAGGAAGGCATGGCAGTGGGGGGAGGAGGATCAAACCCCAGCAGGAAGCAGAGAGCAAACAAGAAGTTGAATGAGACCTTAAACACTCAAAGCCCACCCCCAGTGACATACTTCTCTGTCCTTCCTCTATCACTACTCTATTGATAACATGCCAAAGATAAGATAGCCTGTGGTAGGGTTTAGCATTTTACCTGTCCATAGCCGGCAATGTATCAGCATTGTCACCCCTCAGGGAACACTGCTATTGCCACCATGTCTGACTGGATTCTTCCCTGACAGAATCCCGACAGAGGCAGACACCTCTGTGCTGTGGATTCTCCCCTACAGTTCACATGTTAGAAATTTAATTCCCAAGTCTCAGATGGCAGTGTGTTTTGGAGGTTAGGAGGTAAGAAGGAATCAGAAAAGTCATAAAGATGGGACCCCATGATGGCTTTCCTGTCTTTGTTTGAAGAGGAAGGGACTGAAGCTACCAGCCTTGATCTGTCTCTCTGTGTGGTGTTCTCTTCTCAGAGGGGATGAGATACAAGACCTTCATTAGGCACAGATGCCACCCTTGCACTTCCCAGCCTATAGCATCATGTGCCAAATACACTTCTATATTTTATAAAGTTCCAGGTAATATTATATACAGCAACAGAAAACACACTTAATCTTTGCACTTAAAAATACATTTCTTTCAGTGCTAGGCATTGGTGGAGCATGTCTTTGATCCCAGCACTCAGGAGGCAGAAGCAGATGGATCTCTGTGAGTTCGAGACAGCCTGGTCTACAGGGCAAGGGCTCACTGTCCAGCCAGACTAGCTGAACTGGAAGTCTGCAGAATTCCAGACCACTTAGAAACCATGAATGAAGGGGAGGGAGCTACGAGAATGAGAAGGGAAGAAGAGGAAGGATGTGGAGGTCATGAGGGAGCAGAAAGGTTGAGTCAGGTATAGATTAGAAGAAAGTATATGCGATAGGTAGGGTTTTAATTGGGGGGGTTGTAGGGGAGGAAGGGAGGGAGAAGGGAGCTGGGACTGTCATGTAATTCATTCTTGTTTGCAATTCAAATTAAAAAGAAGAAACCATGAATGCAAAAGAAGGCACACAGCCCCAGAAGGAGCAAAACATGTGACTATCCTCTGACCACCAATACCAACACAAAAAGTACAACTGCAAAGCAGTAACACACACACAGAGAGAGAGAGAGAGAGAGAGAGAGAGAGAGAGAGGGAGAGAGAGAGAGAGAGTGCATTTGAGACAGTGAGGAATTGTGTTATAGTGGATAACAGTTGGTCAACAATTGGATTTGAAAGTATTGCTCTGATGACAGAGATTCAAGGTGCCACAGAATTCACCACTGCAGTCTGAACACAGGTGTGTCCCTGTGCACAGAAGCAGAGAAATGTCAGACTAGTGCAGTGAGAAAAGAGAAAGTGCTGGAACACAGTAGACACAGAGTGTGGTGGTCACCATAGGGAAAGGTCTGAAAACATTGTATCTGTAACCTCTGGGGCTTGAATAGTCACCTGAATAGGAACTGGGGCAGTCATCAGATCTGTCTATCTATGTAACTACTGAGAACAAGAGACCTAAACCTAAAAGCTCTCTATTCCAGACTGTGTGTAGTACTGACAGTTTGTACCAAACAGATCCACCCACTGAAAACACAATGACAGAATTTCATCTCCCATGAATTTATTACACAAGCACGGTAGGCTCCCCACACCCACAGTGGACACAGAAGTGAAGAACCCTATGTCTGCTCCCTGGAATCCACAGCACAGAAACCTGAGGCTGAAATGAGGATGCTCAGTATTTGTCTGGCAGGCCTTTGGGTCGGTAGTGATTGGGGTCATTGCCACTGCGGCCCCATCTGTTGGCTTCCTGGTCTGCCAAGGAATCCTCGTGTCCACGACCCATGAACATCTGAATGTTCTCTCTTGCATCACTAGGAGAAGCACATGGAGGAGATCCACAATGATCTGCATGGCCATAGTCCACCCTCCCAGTTCTCCACTTTTCCATAGATGGCTATAGAACAAAATCAGGATATCAGGGAGGAGGACCTGACCCTGCCAGACCTAGCACAGCATAGGCCTGGTGAGCCATCCTATACTGAACAACCATCACCACATAGACAGGGCTGGAATCACTCCCTGTCTGCATTTGGAAGCATGCCTATCCAGCATGAGCTGTGTGCTGGATCTGCCCACAGCACAGGATCCACAGAGTATAAATGGAAGAAGTACCTGTATGAGCAAGGGGGGAGGCCCTCTGGGTGTCAAGACCTTGTCTTGGGCTCATCTGACCCTGGTCTGCTAGCACATTCAACCCCTGCTACCCAGGCCCAGTGATCCAACTGTCTGCATTTACCTGAGGATCTCAGCAGCCCACACTCCCCCAGGACCCCTTTGGGCAGCATCATAGTTCCCTCTAGCATGGAAGTATTTGTCTGAGTTTTTCCAGTTGGCTTCCTTCATGTCAGAGTAGGCTCGCCACATGTCCCCAGCCCCTGATGGGAAAGACAGGAGGAATATGAACCTAAAGACTATGCCCATGCCTTAGGGAGGATGCAAAAGATAACAACAAACAGACACATCAACCAGGCAGCTGATTTCAGGCTTAGCAAGTTTCAAGCTACTGCTCTGCCACCTGCTGTACTCAGACCATTACAGTCACTAGTCTGAGATTTGTATTTGTATTGCATAACCACCCACCCCCCACCCCAGCCAAAAAACAAAACCCAAGAAATAACATTCCTAGGAAGTGGGCAAAAATTTCTAAATTGTTTCCTGAACCCCACAAGCCATACTTCACCCATCAGCCTTACCTAGATAAGCCTCACCAATAAATGAGAGCCAGCTGCTGACCCCCAGGACCAGGGAGCAAAAAATGAGACCAGGGAGAAGCTTCATTCTGCTGAAATGAAAAGACAGGCTCACAGATACACATCCAGATGGGTACCCCCACTTGGGGTCTGTAATCAAGGGAGAGGCTTGTAGTCCATCCCACTGTAGCTCACTAGAATCCAAATGGAATGCCTAGGTGACCTGCACCAGGACCTTCCTGAAAATCACAAGGCTTCAGTTCTGGTCCCATCAACCCTGAACCAAGACTTTCTGGGAGGACAGCAAGACAGCACTGATGGAGGAAGAGACATTGAGAGCAGAGCAGATTGTCTCCCCATACAGCAGCCTGCAATTCACTAAGAGGCATTTCCCACATGTCCCTTCAGCACAGCACAAACTTCACACCATATAAATTTAGAACACAAAGGTTAGTTTAAAAGGAAATCCCACGTGGGCATAGAAGAAAGAGCAGAAGTATTTGTGCAGGTCGTTTCGTAGAGTCATCCCTCACCTGAGTTCTGGAGGAGCAATGATTGCCTTTAGTCTTCAGGGACATATTTATGCTGAGACTCCCCACTGGGGAAACTGGCTCACTTGCCAGACTTGGTCCCTGGGGAAAGTCCCACCATGTCATTTCCCACGAAAGACTACACAGGAATCTCCCTGGACACCAGGGTTCTCTTTGTTCATAGGAGAGCTTACCCTGTTGTGCAACAGAGGACACAGGACAGTTTTTCCTAATGGTTGATTAGTCAATGCACATAGTCAGGAAGAGAGGTAACCTACAAAGGTGGTGAACTGAAGGCTGTCAGAATGGTGGAAATGCAATAAAGGTGGTCGATTACTTAGAAGTATTCATTTATTCAGAGTTCATAATGGACATTGCTAAAATGCAGCCATTGATTGGATTTATTGTTCTACATGTCCATGGGTGCACAGGTGTGTGAGAACATGAGCTCCAGGTTCCATGTGAGCCTCATAGACACCTCCACTTGCAGCCATTAGCCTCAGTCTATAGAGTCAATATGGGAGCAGAGTGCATGAGAAGCTGTGTGTTCTGAGAATTTTCTCCTCTTCAGCAGTGATCACAAATAGAGAAGATCCCTTAGATATGAACTAGTATTACAGTGTAGTCTTCAGTTCAGTAAACAGTAGAAAAAATTAAAGGCACTGGTCAGGAAAAACATCCAGATAGCTTCAGAGTGTGATCCAATTGGTGGACACCATTTCCCACCCATGAAACATGCTAGGATTTAGTGCCATCAATGAACATTCTAGAGACTTGGGGAGGTGTTGGCCTTTTGGTTGTTTGATGAGTGGATAAATGGCTTGTGGATGTACATTTGTTCATAATGATGCTGCAGTTCTTTCTGTCTGTTTTTTTCCTTACAAATATTTGGCTGTTATTATTTGTGAAAATGATCACCAAATTAGAAGAGTTTTGAAGAAATGGGTGAGGAAACACTGATGTGTACATACTGTGGAGCAGATTCTGAAAGCTAAGGAGATGGTACATTACCAATGGTCAGAAGATGAGAACAGTGGAGATAGGATGAGCTAATTGCTGGTGGTTTTTTCACTGTCAGTTTCCAATGCAGAAGCTCAGCTCATACTAGGAAACTTTCACTGCATTTGTCTTGGAAACAGATACCCAGTAGGACATATTAGTGGAGAAAATGAATGACACAATGGCCAGATATGTTTGGTAAATATGAATTGATTTTGAAGATGTCAAGATTCCTAAGAGTACCTCTGAATGATTGAGGGTGCTGACTGAGAACTGTAGGGAGAGGATTGGATAGAACCAGTCCACAGAAGCAGCCAGTGCTCTTGGACCAGCAAAGAGAGCTTTGGATGAACCATGAACTGTGCCTTTGATAGAACACTGGGAAAGCTGCATGTAGAGCAACAGGGACTGTCAGTGATGGTGGAAGGGTTATCAGGGAAAGGTGGACTAGTGAGATCATGGTACCAGTGGGAAGATCCTGGGATGGTGATTGGTCACTGAATGAAGGCTGTGCATTTGAAGCCAATCCATGTGAGGAAGCTAGTGAAATGAATATTTAGAACTCTACACAGAGGCAACAGCCTTTCTTCTTCACAACTTGAGGCCTCCATTGGGTGGCTGATATTCAGAAGCAAGAATGACACACTCCCCCAAAGACCAAGTGGATTTTAAGGTGAATCAAGAAAACCTTGCTGGTTTTCCCCAACATGGCTCTGTTTACTTCAAAGATGTTTGGAGAGAAATGTCAATGTATGAATAAAAGAGAAATGTTGGCTGCCATGTGTAGATACAGATGTAATATATTTTTGAAATATCTCAAACATGAAGTGTTTATAAGCAAGAATTTATATTCAAAGATGACATGCAGCATGCAAATGTGGGTGTTGTGCTGAGGACATGGCTCAGCGCTATAGTGTTTGCCTCACATATGTGAGGTCCTGAGTAATTTACAACCATATGGGAAAAAAAGCACATACATAAGTTCCTGCAGGCAAACTCTGCCCTCAAGGATTGTTAAAGACAGGACAATGGGGAGTGGGATTCATGTGTGACAGAATCATAGTCAACTCATTTCTTCTGTCATGATTATGACCCATCCAAGGAAGCATGTTGTTGCCCAGGCAGAAGAAACAATCTGTGCCCAAGTTCACTTATCTTAAAGAGCCTATAGAGAATCTAAAGACATTCTGTAGGAGTCAGTCAAGGACCAAACCCCAGGACATAGCAGTCCTTAGCCAATGCTATGACTACTCTAGCACTCCACTTCAGAACTCCACAGGGATACATTCTGGAAATTGGGCCACCCCTTGGAAAGATGGGAATTAAAGGATGTGTGGCTTAGTTTGGAAGAAGGCCATGAGTCAGAGCAATCCGGCTTCAGGCAACAAAAATTGGACATTGTCCCTGTGGTTCCCTGCCATGCTTATCAACAAGAGAAATCCATGTTACAAAACACCAGAGAACCTGTCCAGGAGAGGCCATGACCCTGAGTTCCCATCATAGAACTTAAAAGCCAGCCATGTGGATTTGAAAACAGCATGGTCCTGAGGTGATGGGCCACTTGCTTCCTTGGGTTCCTAAACCTGTAATGACTTCATCTATGCCCTAAATTGATACTGTAGGAGACATTCAATGTCCTGGGAAAGATGAGATAATGAAGAAAGTAAGGCATGGGATGTAGTGGGCCCATTTATATTCATTCACAATCCCACTGTGATTCACAACCTAGGAAATTGTGTATCAAGGAATCCATGCTTCTGTTCTCCTGCTACTTCACAAGTTCCTCCACCAAATGTTCACCTTCACATGTGCATTGCTTAAAGAATGTTGTGGGGTGCCTACCAGGGAAGACTACCAGACACAGGTTTAAGCCAACAAAAAGTATTTATTAATGAAGGGTGTGTTGGTGCACACTTTCATTATTAGCATTTGGAAGGAAGACCAGGTGGATCTCAGTAAGGTTGTGAACAACCTGATCTTCTTAGTGAGATCCAGAGATATATAGTGAGACCCTGTCTTGATAGTAAGAATCTGACTCATGAATAACCAAAAGCCAAAAACCAAGAAAATAAGGCTTTATTAGCTAGCCTGTACACTTGGTTTTTGGGATCCCATTGAAGCTCCAAGCCTTTCTCAGCACAAATATCATGATGTAACCTTAACAGTTAGCTAGAGGCAGAACTACAGAAACCAAAAAGCAAGGTTAGGGCATTTACAGACTTTCTCAGAACTATACACTTTCATGGATTAGGTATTTGTTTTTAATTTGTTAGGTGACACTGCCAGTGTGCTGAGTTTTTATGGCCTGAATGGTGTTTCCATCATGCAGAGAGTTATGCTAAGGTCTGGAAGCCTGTTATGAGACAGGAATGTGTTCTGAGAGATGCAAATTCATAGTTACATTCTGGTGCCATAACAAATATCTTAAAGAAACTTATTGAAGAAAAATCTATTTTTACTTAAAACGCTAGAGGATTAAGAATCCATCATTGCTATTGCAGAGGTATGAGCCAGCCCCAATGCTCTGTGTGTGTGAGATCTGTCCCCATTACTTATCTAACATATGGTGACATAGGTGGCAGAAAGATGCCCCCATCTAACATCCATAAACACCAAGGTCTGGGGGGGGGAGTTTGCCCGGAGGTCACAATAGCAGAAAAGCTGCCCTTGCCCCTCATCAGCTGCAGCACTCAGGAGAGTGGCCCCTGCACCTCACCTGGGCCACAGAGTAGAGCTGGACCTGAATGCATGTGTGGGAGAACAGACCCTGAGGTCTTGAAAGCAGGAGAATTGGCTCCACTTCTTGCTCATTGCTGCAAGGGGTGAACTAGCCAGGACAATGCAGGATAGCTCACCCTGGTAGTGAAGACAGAGGAGAGCTAGTGGGCTCACCAACCCTCCCTTACCCAGCCCAAAACCAGGGTTATATGTTGGCCCACCCCAACATCCACCCCGTCAGTGACCTGTTGGAGAATGGGAGTGGGGGGGGTCCTTAAGACCCACAGTCGCAGGATCTCCAAAACACAGGGCAGCAACAGGATGCCCCATGATGTTCTAGTGTCAATGGTTTGCAGAGACCAGGGACATTGAACCAGACCAATGGTCTTTGCAATGAACACCTGCATGTGAAAATGTATGGATAAAGGAATTTATTGTGTGAGTCACTGTGTCACATTACAACTTCCATGACTAGATTTTTGCTCCTTTTTTCGTTATAATTTTATCTTGGGTTTTTTCTTTTTTTTTTTTTTTTGAGGGGTGGATTTGCAGGCATGATGTGAAAGACAAAGAATAAATCTTTAAAAGTTAAAAATTGCATCATTCTGGGGAGACATGGCAGCAAGAGGAAGGCATGGCAGTGGGGGGAGGAGGATCAAACCCCAGCAGGAAGCAGAGAGCAAACAAGAAGTTGAATGAGACCTTAAACACTCAAAGCCCACCCCCAGTGACATACTTCTCTGTCCTTCCTCTATCACTACTCTATTGATAACATGCCAAAGATAAGATAGCCTGTGGTAGGGTTTAGCATTTTACCTGTCCATAGCCGGCAATGTATCAG